AATCTTCTATTTTTAATTCTTTTGATTTTGTTTTATTGTTTCTTGATGTCTCACAAAGTCATTAGCTTCCACTTGCCCAATTCTAATTTTAAGGAATTATTTTCTACAGTGAGCTTTTGTACCTCCTTTTCCATTTTAGCCAATTCTATTTTTTAAGGAGTTCTTGTCTGCAATGAATTTTGGTACCTCTTTTCCCATTTGGCCTATTCTGCTTTTTTAGGTGTTATTTTCCTCAGTATATATTTTTTGTGCCTCCTTTACCAAGTTGTTGACTCTTTTCTCGTGATTTTAAAAATGATTTTATTTTATTTTTTTCTCATGATTTTCTTGTATCACTCTTCTTTCTCTTCCTAATTTTTCTCTTTCTTACTTGATTTAAAAATTATTTGCTTATTTTTAGTTTTCAATATTCACTTCCATAAGATTTTGATTTCCAAATTTTCTCCCCCCCCAAGATAGCATGCAATTTGATATAGGCTCTACATATATATTCACATTAAACTTATTTTCACATTAGTCATATTGTAAAGAAGAATTAGAAACAATGGGAGAAACCACAAGAAAGAAGAAACAAACAAACAAAAAAAGAGAGATCAAATAATATGCTTTGATCTGCATTCAGATTCTGGATGTGGACAGTATTTTCCATCATGAGTCTTTTGGAGTTGTCCTAGATCTTTGCATTGCTAAGAAGAGATAAGTCTTTCAGAGTTAGTCATCATATAATGTGGCTGTTTCTGTATATAATGCTCTCCTGGTTCTGCTCACTTCACTCAGCACCAGTCCATATAAGTCTTACCAGGTTTTTCTGAAGTCCTCCTGCTCATCATTTCTTATAGCACAACAGTATTCTATTACATTCATATACCTCAACTTGTTCAGCCATTCCCCAACTGATGGACATCCCCTCAATTTCCAATTCTTTGCCACCACAAAAAGAGCTGCTCTATATGTTTTTGTATATGTGGATCTTTTTTCCATTGTGTGATCTCTTTGGGATACAGACCTGGAAGTGGTATTGCTGGGTCAAAGGATATGCGCAATTTTATAGCCCTTTGGGCATAGTTCCAAATTGCTTTCCAGAATGGTTGAATCAGTTCACCAACTCCACCAACAATTCATTAGTGTTCCAATTTTCCTACATCTTCTCCAGCATTTATCATCTTCCTGTTTTGTCATGTTATCTTACTTGATTTTTAAGATCCTTTTTGAGCTCTTCCATGGCCTGAGACCAATTCATATTTTTCTTTGAGGCCTTGGATGTAGCAATTTTGATTTTGTTGTCTTCTTCTGAATTTGTGTTTTGATCTTCCCTGTCACCATAGCAACTTTCTATAGTCAGGATCTTTTTCTGGGGCTAATCCATTTTTCCAGCCTATGTCTTGACTTTTAGCTCTAAGTTAAAGTGGAGTGGAGGGGGCACTGTCCCAAGCTTCAGGTTTTTTGTGCTGCTGCTTTCAGAGATAATTCTGGGGACCTGTAAGTTTTCCATTCTTCCAGGATGGTATAGTTTAAGGAGAAGTATGTTTACCAGTCTAGCCAGTGCTTTGGTCTGTGAGTGACCACAAGCACTCTTTTCACCCTGGCACCATGACCAGGGTTCTGCCTCAGGTGCCAAAGGAACCCCTGTAATCTCCTTCTGACCAGTTGTCTGAGCCCGTTACTGTCCATGGGCTGAGAGGTCCAGAAACTACTGATTCAGTTGCCCCCAAGGCCTACTGCTTGTTTGCTGGGGTACAGCCCATGCTGGTGCAGCCTGTACTGGACTGTACTTTACTTTCACCCTGGTACAACAGACCTTTCCTACTGAACTTCTAAATTGTTTCGGGTTGGAAAATTGTTTCACCCTGTCCTTTTGTGGGTTCTGCCACTCCAGAATTTGTTTTGAGGCATTATTTAAAGTTGTTTGGAAGGGTTTTTGGGGAGAGCTCAGGTGAGTCCCTGCCTTTTCTCTACCCTTGGCTCAACCTCTTCTCTAAGTTGGTTTTTTTTTTTTGAGAGTTTAAAGTCTCATCTGAGAGAAATTATTTTTTCTATTATATTTATAATCAATGATTAAATTAGGATCCAGGTTTTTCTCCTCTATTTAGGGCCCAGCCCCTATAGAAGGTCAGTCAGTCTCTGAAAGACATGACTAATTGATGAGATTGCCCTAACTCTTGGGGAACAGGCTCCTGGATCTTGGGCCAGACCCCACCCAACTAGGAGACCTTACTTCTGTTTAGAATAGGACTGCATGAGGGCTGAAAGTTGTGCAGGCCTGCTTTAGAGTGTAAACAGAATCTAGTCTGGGCAAGTTCTTGCCTCAAGGAGAACAGCCCCTGTCCTTTTACCCCTCCAAAAGAGGGGTACAAAAAAAGAGGGGTAAAAGAATTGAGGGTGACCCACCTCATGAAGGAGGAAACCAACCAAAGTGGTCTGGATAAAGATTCCATTGTCCAGATTGCTGGAGGCAGCTGAGCGCATTATCAAACCACATTCTCAGCAGAAGGAGCTGAAGACTTCTAGCCCACCTCCTCATTAAATGTCTACCAATCAGGGTCGATTTTCACTTGTTAGGGACATTCTCTTTCAAAAAATACTTAAGGCTTTCAGGCTCTACATGTTTTTATTTTTGGTTTCCAGAGAGAAACCACTGATTATTAGCTAGCCTAGTTAATAAATTGATTATTTATCACCCAGAAACTCTGCCTTTTGGGGTTTTTCACTCATAACACATAATTGCTGTTATATTTTTCCATATCAAGTAAATTCTGACACTTATGAAAATTAAAATAACTCAAGAACCTTTATAGATTATGGTTTGAAATATTCAACAATTAAATTTAAGTTATTTACATAAATTGCTTTATGACAATTGGGTATCAACATTTTTTTCTTTTAATAAGGGGAGTAGTTGCTATGTAAAGTTTGGAAATCACTGTTCAATCATCTTACTACTCCTACAGTTTAGGATGAGACAATCTAAGGTTTTATTTGGGAACCATCGAAAGTTTGGCATTTCCCCAGTGTTCCCTCTAGAAGAGAATGTAGTGCCACCAGAATGAGTACAAGATTCCCAGGGCTCAGTCCTTGTTGGTGGAAGGAATCAGGTTAGTGGCTTCTTGAAACTCCACCTGGTGGTTAAATTGGGGTTGAAATAATATGGAGAAAAGGTGGGAGGGATGGAGCAGCTTAAGCCCCTTCCTGAAGATTTTCTGTCCTAAGGTAGGGGTGAAATAGTATCTAACCCAAATAGGAGACCAGCTCCCTCCATCTTTTCTTCCTTATCCCTTCCACAGGGACCTCAGAGAAGATAGAATATTCATGTATCTTGATTATTTGCCGTAATAGAGATATTTGGTATAGATGATAATGGTACAGATAATTCTAAATAGGATATGATTGAAGAGAATTCTTTTTGTTCTTGTATACTTTATGAATATACAGATTTTTTTTCTTCAGCATCAGATTTACCTTTCTGATTTTGTTTTGCTTATTGTTAAAATAAATTCTCATTTTCTGACAGCTAAGAAGTGCTCCCAGGAGACCCTATGGGAAGGGAATCTGGAATTTTATATGCAGCACAGATGATTTACAAACTATATAATCCACAAATAGGCAACTAAGTGCTCATTTAAACTACCATTTTCATCCTGGAGGTGATGGTGGTGATGAAGAAGTCTTTACCTCGTTTGACTAAAATGACAGGTTGAAGGGGGAACTTCTCAAAGGCCAAATCAGTATCAATTTATTTAAGGAGAGGGTTTTCAGAGTATGAAGACTCCCTAGGTCTTGCCCCCTGGGAGCTCACAGTTGGTAAGTGGATGGGGTCTATTGGTCACAGAAAAAAGCTCAGAAGGAAATGAATATTGAAGAGGATAGAAAAGAGGAAGTAGCACAAACCGAGGGAGGGAATTTCCAGTCTCTGGAGACAAGGGGTCCTAAGACTCATAACTTCCCTTTCTGTGATCCAACTGTTTTCTACTCAGCTAGTCCTTGTCTTCAGCCTTCCCTGCCTGCAGAGGTTAGAACCTTTCCTAAACAATGAAACAGACAGATTCCAGACAATTCTTGGTTCCCTAATTTTAAAGGATGAAATTGAGTGCCCAGTCAAGGAACCTCTGGGGAGAACACTAGGGAGCAAAGGGGCAAAGTTATGGGCAGCCTTGGCTACTAGGAACAGTGAGGTTGTTTTCCTCACTGAATTGACAATTAATTTATGCTCCTTTGATCTTTGGGATGGTTTGTATCTTTCGGGATGGTTTGTATGTGACTTCCAGGTTCCCCTTTGCAATCTTATTTGCTGCTTATTGCCTCTTTACAATGGTTACTTATAAACTTACTATACTGACTAGAAAGTGGGGGTGGTCAGGGGGACCAGAACAAGGTAGTGTTAATACTCACTGACCCTGGGGTCCCTATACACAGATTTGCTGTCTTTTAGGTTTGTAGTAGTATTAATGTATACTTTGGTTTTTTTTATCATCAAAGCTAATTGAAATAAATATTTTTGAAGTCAAAGAAACTGACCAGCTCAGCTCAACAGAATAGTCATGGTTAATTCAGAATTGTGAAGGGACATGACAGCTACCTGTAAGCATTTGAATGGTTATTATATATGGAAGAACTATTAGACTACTTGACCCCAGAGGTCAAAAATCTGGACAATGAGAGGAACATGTCAGTACTATGCAAAGAAAAAATTCCTGCTAATTAGAATACAATTAGTATTCAAAGAGTTGAACGGGCTGCCTAGGAAGGTAGAACGTCTTAGTTCACTTGAGATCTTTGGAAATGCTGTAGAAGGTATTCTTTACCAGCTACAAACTGCACTAAACGACCAATGAGGTTCCTTCCAAATCTGCAATTTTGTAAAGATGTAGTTGGAGTGGCTCTTCCTACAGAGGCCTGTGCTGGATAGGATTCACCCAGTAACTGATGATGCCACGCCGAGGACTCCAACTATTGGTTTTCACATATGTTCCCACCCACCTAGCAAATCTCTGAGCTACTGGTTTGGGACTTTGACATTCGGCTAGGGTAAAAAGGTTCAGGATTGAGGAGAACCAGCCTAGAACTTCAAAACATTACTTAGCCTGGCCTGAGAAGTCACTTGTTTGCTTTGGGCCGTTCAGACCCTCAAACTCAGGATCATCTGCAAAGCTCAGGGTGGAAGCATTGCTCCAAACTCTAGAAAATCAAATCCATTGCAATGCTCAAGCAAAGAATGAGGTTACTCCACCTACTACTACTGGGCTTCAGCCTGGGTTTTTCAGGAGCAGGTAAGGCACATTTCTTCTCCATTATATATTCCCTCAACACTCCTTTCCCATTGCCTTACTTTTTTGGGACTTTTGGGAGATTTAGAGAATTTTCTCAGAAGAAATTGGGGGCTCTGTATGGATTGCTTCTCCTTGGGAAAAAATCTGCCTTGGAATGGGTGGTAGATAGCATCTGGGGGAATCTCATTAAGGTCAGTCATGCAAAACTGCATGGAGGCAGAAGACTCCTTTCTGCACCTTATCTCTGTTCTTGTGTATGAGGTCTTTCTCTGGGAAGGACTCTTGAGTTCTTCACTTGGATGCTCAATGAGATAGAGAGGCTTTGAAGCTTGTAGTGAAGTAGCAAGCTTGACCTGTTCCTCTATCCTGGCCCCAGCAGGGGGCTTTGTGACCCATGTGGAGAGTGGCTGTATACTGGATGAAGAAGGATCAGTAAAGGACTTCACATATTGTATCTCCTTCAACAAGGATGTGTTGACCTGCTGGGACTCAGAGGCTAACAAGATGGCCGCCGTTGATTTTGGGGTGCTGCATCCATTAGCCGAAGAGCTTTCTGAAATCCTCAGTAACAGAAGTGATTTTATGGACCATATGAACAAAGGACTCCAGGACTGTGCCAGTCACACAAAGCCCTTCTGGGGATCATTGACCCAAAGGACACGTAAGAAGGAAGGGGCTGCAGAAAGAGATCCAAGGGAATGGAAGTGGAAGAGGGAAAGGGTGAAGAGGATCAGATGGATAGGATCAATATAGTTCAGGACTTGGGCAGAGGGGAAGCAGATGGGGAAATGTACGGAGATAGGAAGCCTTCCTCCAAAGGGAAATGATTTGGATTAGGGCTGGTGGTAGAAGTAGGGAATGGGGGACAGTAGGATTGTGAGGTGAGTTTTGACCGGGAAAGCTTGGAGGACTGAGTATTGGGGTATGACTAGTAATTGGAGTGTCTTGGAGTGGTAGGGGAGAGAACTAGACTTGGGCAGAGGGCACAAAGAATTGCTAGGATGAGCTTTTCTGCAGGAGAGGATGAAAACAGTATCAAATCTCATTAATTTGTACTCTTCTATTTGCATTTACCACCATTTGTGGAAAGTCAATTAGTGTTACTCTTTGTTTCATGGCATCAAGACTGTTAAAACTATAAGAGAACTTAGAGATCATCTAGTTCAATCCCTTCCTTTTCTAGATGAGGAAACTAAGCTTAAGAGGGGAAGTGACTTGTCTAAGCTATAGTTATTCTAGAAGAAAGACTTCATATAGCTAATGCATTTTAAAAATAAAATTAGGAGGGAATTTTAATTTTTAACCTATATTTTAAAATAAACTATTAAAACAAACTCTTTAGAAATTTCTACTTACAAATGGTTGTATGTGAATTATAAGCTTTATCTATTAATTAAAACACTAAAGTCCTGCTTCAACGAGTCTATGAATCTTCAGTAGGTAACAATTTTTTAAGCTTAGTGGTTAATGTATGTACTTGGAAGTAATCTGTCATTTTGTTACCAAGTTCTAACAATTCAGATTTTTTTCCCTCATTGTGTAAGAGTGACTATCACTATATAATTTTTTTCAAGAGGTCATTTTAGATGAGACAAGGAAGGAGGGAAAGGTGAAGGAGGCATGGGAAAAAGGAATTACTGAGGCAGGAGGAAGATCTTATTTCTGAAATACAGAGGAGAAAGTGCCAATGAAGGAAGGAAAGCTATAGGGAAGGAGTCAGACATCAGGAGTACACACAGGAAAGAAACTGAATTGAGGGAAACTGTTGGTGTGTTTCTTGATTTCTGCTTCCCTTCTCCCCTCCCTAGTCTGTAACAATGCCATGCCTTACTCTCTCCCAGGGCCACATCAGCAGGATAGAAGCCCCATACATAACAAGCCAGCATCACTGACTCCCTTGTGTTGAATGGTGTGGTCTGGGCTACTTGCACTGATGGTGGCCATTTTGTGGTTGAAGAATGGGCAGCCTATCCCAAACAGTGGCATCCAGAGGGCTGTACAATCCAATGGGGACTGGACTTATCAGACACGATCCTACTTACCCCTTACCCCCTCTAGTGGGGATATTTACACTTGCCATGTAGAGCACAGTGGAACTTCCCAGCCTATCTTGCAGAACTGGAGTGAGTATATTTTCAGTGTGGGCATATGTTGAATACATTTGAGGAAAGGAGGGTGCCAGAGGGATTGTGTGCCAGAGGTGAAAGGAGCATCTAAGTTTATAGAAAGATGGAGTTAAGGTAAGGTGGTGATATTAATAGCTGATATTTTTACATATACAGTATCATCTGACTTTCATAATAACCTGGGGTAACACAGGGAGTTAAGGAAGTCTTGAAAAGGAGTTATATTTCAGGGACAGACCCAGGGGAATAGCATCCCACTTTGTTGCAAGCTATGGAAATGCTGTCTTACAGGTTTTATAGGGCTGGGTCTTCTCAGATGCGGATGCATTGTTACGAACTTGAAGGGCAGCTAAGGTAGGGATGGAGAGCACAGTAGGAATTCTATATGTAGGACAAGTCTACCTTAATAGAAGAGTTACAAAAGAGAAGCCTTCCTCAATAGGTGATCATTCAAGTAGGATAATTCCAGTCTAGGTCAGATTCTAGGGAGATTGATTGTTTAGCTAAGGAAATGATAATCAATGTGAGATGAGAAAGTATGAGGCGTTGGATGTGATAAGCATGGAAGAGATATACAAGGATCAGGAACTTTGGAAATGATGCCCTTTTTCAGAGGACTTGATAAGAAGGGGGAGTTGCCTAGGATAGTCAAGTAAAGGACATGAATAAAATTAGTCATCACAACAAGAATGTGAGTTTTCCAGCTGGAAATACAAGGGAGAGGCACACAGACATTTGAAGTTTTCAAATGCAGGATACATGTAAGGTGATACAGGGATATAGCATTCCTGCGTTTGGATGATGTAATTTAGTTTTCTGATTCTTTGTATGCACTTGTATGTGCAGGCATATGTATATGAATTTGGGAATCTGTTGGACCCACTAAGGGGAGCACCGAGACTGACCCCTGTAACACTGTGTCCCTACAGCACCTGGCCTCTCTCTGAAGCAGATAATGAAGATCTCTGTATCTGTATTGACTCTGAGCCTCGGCCTCACCCTCTTCGTCCTTGGCCTGGTTGCCTGCCGAAAAGCTGGCTTCTCTGGTGAGTTCCCCTTCTGAAGTGCTGTCCCTAATATCCATTCCAAATTGTGTTTGTCACCTCATTCCCTCTCACTATGACATTATCCCCACATCTTTTCTAACTGCATCTTTCTTCTTTTCTAGACTACACTCCTCTCTTGGGGTCCAATTATCCTGAAGGTAACTCCAATCTCTACGTCTGTCTATTGATTTATCTCCCATTCTTTTGGTTGGTGATGACACCTGAGACTAAAGATATCTCCCTATCTTTGTGGAATTGTAGAGAGTAAGAGTCTGAGCCAATTGCCCACGGACAAGGTTTATAGAAGAGGTCACCCTCTGAGAGCCTGAAATTGATACCCATCATCCAAGCAAATCCTACAGAATTTAAGAGCCCCCAGGGCATTTGACAAGGGTGGTTTTTTTTGGGGGAGGAAGGAGAAGGTGCAGGGGTGGGGAACCTGCAGCCTTCGGGCCACATGTGGCTTTCTAGATCCTTAAGTGTGGCCTTTTGATTGAATCTAAATTTTGCAGAACAAATCTAGAAGGGCACATGTGGTCTGAAGGCTGCAGGTTCCCCACTCCTGGTATAGAGTTTACTTTTTACCTTTTTAAGAAGGCCTAGAATGTTAAATTATGTTATTGCTCTGTGGGCTTTGGCCTGGAGGTGGACAGGGGTAGGGCTATGTCTAAGACAAACTTCTTAATGGTGGACTCCTCATCATCTTCCTTCTCTTTCTACCATAGGTAGAAACTTCTCATAAAGGCTGATACTCTGAAGCCTCAGCTCAATGGATAGAGTGCTTGGCCTGGTATCAGGAAGACCTGATTTCAGATCTGGCCTCAGACTTGTGCTGTGTGAGCCTGGACAAATCACTTGACATCTGTCTGCTTCAGTTGTCTTATCTGTAAAATGGGGCTAATGATAGCACCTCCTTCCCAGTGTTGTTGTGAGGATCAAATAAGAATAATTGTAAAGTGCTTGGCACACAGTAGGTATTATATAAATATTAGGTTTTATTATTATCCTTTCCAATTGGGAATAGGAACTCAACTGTAGTTGGTTACCAACTAACTCTCATATCTACCTCCTATACTCTTCTCCTTATTCCCCAAAATGCTTTCTCCTTAATTAATGTCACCCCTTTCTTAGGTTCTGTTCACTTCTCCCTTGGACACCTTGCTAAACCATCCCTCCTCACCTTGGGTAACTCAGGGAAAACTCCTCCTTGAGCCTGTCTGAAAACAGGAGGAGGGGGTAGAAAGTACCTGTCCATAAGGTTGAAATGAAGGAAAAGGGATACCATTCTGACTCTCGTTTTACTATTGGCGACACTGAACCAATAAGTAATCTCTTTGGAATAAATCTTAGAGCTCCTTGTGTGTAATCACTTCTCATTCCTGGGATGAAGGGAAGTGGAGAAAAGTGGCTCTGAGATCTAGTATTCTAATTCAAAACATTAAATACCTACTATGTGCAAAGCACTGTGCTACAGTTTGAGGATGCAAAGGTAAATTCAACAAATTTATTAAGCATCTATTATAATCAGGCACTATATTAGGTGCTGGGGATACAAAGACAAAAATGAAACATTCCCTGGTCTCAAAGAACTTATATTCTACTGGAAACATACTCAAATAACACATTCACTTCAGGAAGAAGAGAGCATTCACAACACAGGGCAACAGGAAAGGTCTCATCTAGAAGGTAACACCAGAGCTGAGGGAGCGTTGAACTAAGCTGGGGATTGTTAAGATATGGAAGTGAGAAGGAAGTGCATTTCAGGATTAGAATAGCCTGTGCAAAGAGGCAGAGGTGAGACATGGAATGTTATGTACAGGAAATAACAGTAGGCCAGATGAATGGAACCACGTTTGTGAAGAGTAAGAAAGAAATGACTTGGAAAGGTAAGGGAGGGCTATATTTTGGGAGGCTTTAAGTGCTAGGCTGAGTGTGTTATTTTATCCTAAAGGTAATTGGGAGCCACTGAAGGTTTTTGAATATGAGAGTATCTTAGAGAATAACAATTTGGCACCTGTGTGACGATGAGGAGAGGAGAGTGGAAGTAGGGAGACTAATTGGGAAGCTATTATACTAGTATAGGTAAGAGGTAATAAGGTATAACTAAGGGAGGAGCTGTGTGAGTAGACAGAAGGGAACAGAGGTAAGAGAGGTTGTGGGAATCAGCAAAACTTAGCAACAAGCAATATGACTGGTGCTGGAGAGGGAAAAATAAAGGATGAATTCAACCTGAGTGACTAGGTTAGCAGTGCCAGCAATAGAAATAGGAAAGCTTGCAGAAGGGTTGTGTTTGGGGATAAATATGAGTTGTGTTTTGGACATGAATTTGAGATACCTATTGGACATTTAATTGGAAATGTCCAGCAGGCGGTTGATAACATAGGACAGGAATTCAATAGAGATATTAGGACTGGATTAACAGATTTGGGAGTCATCTGAATAGAGATGATAATTGAAGTACTAGAAACTGCTGAGCTCACCAAGAGACTGAGTTTAGAGAGATATGAGGGCCCAGGAAAGAGGAAGATCATGCTTGGTGAGCAGGAGAAGATGATTTGACAAGGAGACAGAGACCTTACCCTGAGTTTACCAGTTAATGGCGGGGAAATGAAATGTATACAAATGAGTGTAACACAGGTTAGAATACAAAGTCCCAGAGGAGGCCTATTCTTACCTTACCAAATGTTCAGTTTTCTCTCCCTTGTAAACTTTGTATATACTTTATATGGTTATCATTTACTTTTCTGTGAATATGCTGTTTCCTCCTATTAGAATGCCCTGAGACAAGTATTTTGTGTATGTGTGTGTGTGCCCGAATCTAACACAGTGCCTGGCATATACAGCTGTCCATGTAACAATTTTCCCCATCACGGGTTTGATGTATCTGGGGTCAGCATAAGAAATTAAATAGGAATTTTTTGGGGAGTTTTGCAGAAGTTGCAGATGACACACAAAGGCCAGCAGGTGACACAGAGCCTATGACCAAATACTTAACCCAAATTTTACAATAAGGTACTGTTAACACCCTATAAAAGAAAAAGAAAAAATCAGACTTTTCCTCTAGTACAAAGGGAGGGCCAAAATTTTTTAGTCGGATTTTCCAGATCGAGGGGGTGCCATGCCCCTAATGCCTGAGATGTGGAAGGGATAACTGTAGTAATGCTTGATGAATGAAGGGATGAATAGGAGTGATCAAAGAGAGTGCCTGAGATTCTAGGAGGCAGGGATCACTTCTAATTGGAGGAAATAAGGGAAAGCCTCCTGGAGGTGGCAGCACTTGAGCTAGGCTTTGAAGATTTTAACAAGACATGGGAAGTAGACCATTTAGGCTTGAGGGGTTGTAAGTACAAATGTATAGATGTGGGAGAGGGTAGGATGAAATTTTGGAATATTGTTCATAAGCATTTATTGAGCACCTGTTACGTACCACGCACTGTGCTAAGTATTGGGGATATAAAGAATAGCAAAAGACAGTCCCTACTGTGGAAGAGCTCACAATCTAATGGGAAAAAACAAGCAAGTAAATATGTACAAACAAGCTCTATGTAGGATAAATAGGAAATAATTAACAGATGAAAGGCACTGGAATTAAGGAGGATTGGGAAAGGCTTCCCATAGAAGGTGAGAAGTGCTCAGAGAGGAATGCCTGAAACAAGGCTGTAAAAATAGGTAGGAACCAAATTGCAGTGGGCCTTGGATACTAGAGTGAGGAATTTGCATTCATTTTATTATATAGACAATTAAAGTTTATTTGGGGGGGGAAGGGTGGAAAATGGAGGGAGGTAGTGATTTTGAATCAAGGAAATCAGGAAGATTACTTTGCTTATGGTTTTAAAGGATGGGTTTGGACTGGGAGATGAGTTCAGGGGATTGTTATAAAGGTGATGAGGGCTAGAAGTAGGATAATGGCAGTAGAAGTGGGAAATCTGTGATGGATGAAAAGAAATTTCACAGGTAGAATCAGTACTTGGTAACTAATCGGATACAAGGAATGGGGAAGAATCAAGCAAACACTCCATGTTTCAAGATGAGTTCTATTTTGGACATGTTGAGTTTGCGGTGCTGGTGTTGGACAGGTACAGGTAGTGAAGAAACGATGTCTCACTACAATAATGCAAAGAAAACCAACTTTCAAAAACTTCTGGAGTGACCTACCATGACTTCAAAAGACTGATGATAAAACACACTTTCTTTTGTCAGAGAGAAAATAAGAATAGAAATATAGAATGAGATGACATTTTCAGATATGGTCAATGTGTTGATTTGTTTTGCTTGACTATACTTTGATTTTGACAATACTTGACTGTAAGGGATGGTTCTATTTGGGAGGAAGGATGAATTTAGTGGAAAGTGATAAAGATGCAAAATAACTCAATAGAACACAAATTAAAACAAAAACTTCAGATGGGAGACAGAAACAAGGCAATCTTAATACTATTAAATGTAAATACACTTTAAAAAAACATGTAACACTTCTTAATTCATATGCAATGTTTTCCTTTGTCCTTTTTTTGTATATTGGAATGTTTGTTTTAAATTCACAATAAATAACATTTTAAAAAAATGTTCTCCCTCTCCCCCTGCACCACATTCACACAAATAGGATACTATAGAACTTCTGGGGAAGTTTTTTTTTTGTGGGCTGTTGGGGTTTTTCTTTTGGGGGGGGGTAAGGTAGTAGGTTTGAAGCAAATGTAGCCACAGCAAAGGAAATGAAAATGCAAAACTCTTAATAGTTTTGCAGAAGAGAAACTTATTATAGCTAGAGCCTTTAAGCAGGAACTGGCTTGTTTGGTTTTCCTGTAATTTTAGCTTGTAGTGAGAAAAGTACTTTAATTTCAGGAGTTCTATATCTATTACCTCTCTTGAGCTCCAATGTCAGCAGCATGGGGTAAGAATGCATTCTTCTTCTATCCCCAACAATATAACAGGTGCAAGTTTGTAGTGATAGTGACATGTGTTGATCACAGAATACTTAGTAAAGGATTCCTGAAGGCAATTATAGCCTGGAAGATTGAACACTTCCTGGAGAAGGGAGTGAAAAAAGATGCTGAAAGAATAGAAACTCTGGGGATATGTTCTATGAGGGATAGAGAGGGAGACAGAATAAATCAATCAACAAGTACATTCCAGGGCAGAGACAGTCTGTACCATCTGTGAAGACATGCACTCCTAGAAAGGCCTAATTAGCAAGGTTTGGTACTGGATAGCATCCTCTTCCCCCCCCCCCCCCCCCC